GAGTCGGGTAGAGATGCATCAGAAGTAAATGAGGTAACTATTAATAGAACCCAAATATTTTGAGCCATTTCTCTGATACGAATATTCTCGACAGTTTTTAATAACTAAACTTGCTTTATCGATTGAAACTACTCTCCCGCAAGTGATTATCGTAGATCTTGAATTGATTCCTGATGTTGCTAAGTTATGCGTTGAATTTTATCTTTTAGCTAATAGATAATAATCCCATGTATTTCATTTCTAATCTATCGAATCTTATAAACCTGATCATTTAAGGTGTTATTTGATTTTGTACTGCTGGTAAATCAACCTTTGTTACTGCCATTTCAAAAGCAAAACCCAAAATTGCCAGGCAAGGAGGCAAAGGAGGATCTTACGAAACTAATTATATCGGACAACCAGGTCAATATCGAGAGATTATCATAGATCTTAAATTGATTGCTGATGTTGGTAAGTTACGCATTGAATTTTATCTAGTAGTTAACAGAATAATTATCTCATTTATTCTCCTTCAAATCTATCGATCTTATTTCAAACCTGATTTTCATTTCTTTTTTCATTTAAGGTTTTGTTGGATTTCCCAATGCTGGTAAATCAACCCTTCTTACTGCCATTTCAAAAGCTAAACCCAAAATTGCCAGTTATGCTTTCACAACTTTAGCTCCTAATATTGGAACAATCGAGTATAGTGATCTAACTAAGATCACATGTGCTGATCTACCTGGTCTCATTGAAGGAGCTCATGATAATGTTGGCTTAGGTCATGAATTTCTTAAACATGTGGAAAGAACGAAACTTTTCTTATTTGTTTTTCATGCCGTTGGCTTTTGAATGATTTGAATTTTATTTTACAAGAAAAGTTGAAAGTACAGTCATCTTTCAATGAGGATGCCTATGTAAAACTGCCCGATTTCATACATCAATTCAATAGAAGGCAAAAAGGAACAAAAGTCCCAAAAATGCATTTCCTTGAGCAGGCTGAAGGGTTGAAGAATGTGTTTGAAAGTAAAAATTGACTTTGAAACATTTTTATCAATCAAAAGCACTCCGTCGATTAACAATAAAATTTTCCTGCTCTACAGCAGAAACAATCTGACAATACATTTTGAACATTCAAAATGAAATACTCGTTAGACGACCTCTAATTTGGTTGATTAATTTACCCCTAATCCAAAGTCATGAATTTGTGTTGTTCATTAAG